ATCTAAAACTATAGATATGAAATAAAAAGAAATATAGAAATTCCCATGGTTGAAATAGGACAATTGAACTAAGGAAGAGAGCTAGGGATTTGATAAAGGGGATACGACAAGGCTCCAAACCAATTGGATAAGGACCGAACACTTGAAAGAAAGACCAAGCAGTTCGCTAAAGGCTAACATCTTTTGAAAAAGATAAGTGTTTAAAGGTCCCTAGTAGTTGGCTAAGGATCAAATTCTTGGAAGAATGACCAAGCAATTTGTTAAAAAATTTATGTGGGAAGCATAAAATAAAGCCTTTCCATATATTCATAAAAGAAAAAGAAGGAAAATACACGGATATTTAAAAAAAAATTGGTAGTAGATATTGCTGCTAAGTAACAGGTGGTGCAGAAGAACTCGGAGCAATATGACGAGAAAACATCTTAGAGGATGAAGGCACATTCAAAACTCACTGAGCAACCTACCAGCCCTTTGAAAAGTGAACCTTCTCGAGTGAAGAAAGTTGTAGAGCCAGCTTGCCTTCAGCCTTTTGCATTCCTTGCTCAAAGGAGTTATCTTGTCGCTCCTACGAATGAACCTTGAAGTCTCATACTCTTCGAGAAGGGCGACATGCTCCACTTGAGTGAGAGAAAGCTCTGATGTGGATGCTAACTCGAAATCTTTCAATTCATTCACTTCTGCGGTGAGCTTTTCATTCTCCTCCATTACACTGCCCATTTGCAGCTGAAGAACGAGCATGTCCTCACAAAGTTTGGCATATTCGACATCCATAGTCTCCTTCTTTTCTAGGGTTGTCATACAATTGTATGCGGCCTACTTCATTGCCTTGTCCTTTTTTACAATCCTGGCACCAACTTCATGGACCTTTTACAGGCCCTAATTTTTAAGGAAATGAGAAGTAATTGAATTTGCCTCAAAAAATGGGAAAAAAATAAAACAAACATTAAAATCTGAAAACATACAAGCACTATCTGTCAAATGGCCTATCGTGTTATTTCATTGTCCGACATCCTCTTGTTTGCTACTAAGTCTCAAGGGAGAATCACCCATTTCTATTCCAACTGCCACTTTCACATCCTCTACCAGCGATTCATGAGCATTGATCTCCTTCCTTTTTTCCTTCAAGATTGGATGAAAAGGGGAAATCACCCGCTCAAGAATCACAGAAGGATTAGATTTTGATATCCTTAGTCTCTTTATGGCACGATCCTCGACAGAAACAAAAACCATATCTTCTCTAGATGACTTGGCGAGAGAAGAAACATGAACTTCAGAGGATTTGGGGATCTCAGGATTGAGAAGGGTAACTTGACAGTTCTAGGTCTTTTTGGACAATTACTTGAACAAATGGGACATTGGGGTCATCATAAACAATCATTAGCTCATGCCCGATCTGGTTTTGTTGAGTAGGTTCATCAGAAGTCAAGAAGCCTTGAGCCAGAGCAAGAGTAGGCTCAGAAGTCTCAACATAGGACAGGAAGTCGAGGAAATTCCTCGTCGGCATGTTCCTATTAGAAGCACTTGGGATGGAATTCTTATGAGACAGAGAAATTTGGGCCCGTGTAACTTGCAAAACTTCGTGATCATCAACAAGAGTGGCATTAGGGTGGTCAGGGATAGCAATGAAGGAGGTATAAGTCGGAATATAGCCTAGAAGCATGTGAGTACCTCGACAGAAGAGGTTGTCATTGAAAGACCATACCATTGTTAGCTCCTCCATCATAGACCGCTCTGAAATCTTCCCTTTAACAATCTCACCTAAGAAAAAATTCCAAATAAAATACATTGAACAATGTATGGAAAATGAGAGAAACAACCCAAGGGCATAATTTCAATTACTTGGTGTGTCTTCTTCAAAAAGGACATCAGTAGGAATGACTCTCGCCAACTTTGTATTCCCAACTCCTGGAGACAAAGATCACATCGTTCTTGTGACTTTTGTTTGAGTCTAGCAAATGGGTCACTAAGTAGCAATCATTCCTCCTGACTATAAGATAGTAATTGTCCCCCCTGGTTTGATAGTGTAATAGTAAAGGATTTCCTATAAGCCCAAGCTCAACCCTAGCAGATTGTTGAGTGTTGCGACCCCATCACTATTCTAAAAAAGTTAGGGCAACATTGAATGGGACAAAGCTTCAAAGAGAAAAGAACCCATAAAAGAAGCGTATGAAATGGACACTATGTGCCACCCTCAGTAATGGCACGGGTGTGGATGGGGATGGATTCTCTGGTCCCAATGAGCGGTTCGTCGGTGCCAGCTATGCGAACATCGACATCATTAGAGATGTTGCATTTGACTCTGAAAGCTGGAATCTCAGAAGCTAAGAGAGGAACCATTTGAGAAAGATAGGAAAAAATCCCAGAAACGGAGCAAAAGACAGAAAGAAAAATTCACATAAGGAAAAGTTCAAAGAAGGAAAGGTTTAGAGAATGGAGACAAGCATAAGATGCTTAAAGACCCCTTTTTAAAGGAGATAAACGAGTGCCAAAGGAAATGACGCCTAAAGGCCAAATAACAACACATTAAATAAAAAGTACAATGTCAAACTAAGACAAGAGGGATGTATGGCTCGAGAAGCTAGGTAATCATCAACAATGGTATATGAAACAACTGACAGATGTATGCCACATGGCGTATGTTTCCTAGGGGCCTTGATATTATGACAACATGTATTAGTATAATGATTCACACACGTAACAAGGTCATGTGTGCATTTAAGATATGAACAGTTCAAAGTAATGACAAGACTAGGCCGAGCTAAAGGAGGTTGGGCCAAGGATAAATGACCATTTACCAAACATGCTTGACTGATTAGGCCAAGCTTTACTAACATTTGAACAACTTGGGCCAAGTCAAGCGAGTGATTACTGATCATCTAGGAAGTTGAATGGATAAGATAGGTAAGTTGTTAAAGTTATGGCGAGTCATCGTCAATGATCCCAAAAAATTAGCTGAATATAGAAGTTAGAAATATTTCAGTAAGAAATAACCGGAAGTCCAGCATAATGGGGGTGTACCACCTTGCTTTGCAAGCATAGGAAACCCTAAAGAAGGGAGGTCGAGGCATCTTATAAAAGGGGCCCGATAAGGTTTAAGAAAGGGTACACACAATTTTTCTTGCAATTGCTTTTGTCTCAATCCTCTACCGACTTAAGCATTGGAGTACCTTCGATTAGTCCATTCTAGTCCTAAGCAATTTGTTCATTTTACAGAAAAAATTAAACGATATACACATAATTCAACCATAGTCAAATCACATCACAAGAGATAACTTTTTTACTCCTCAGAGCATCTCCAACTTAGTTCTCCAAAATAATTAGTCAAAATATATTTAAATATTACATTATCTACTAAACTAGCCACTTTTAGAGTAACTCCAACTTTGGTCAGTAAAATAGATACCCAAAATATATTTAAATTTTGTATTTTCTACTTTAAATAGCCACTTTTTGACATTCACTCCAGCCACATTTCCTATTTTAGCTTACTACTTCAGCTAATTTTTAACTAATTTTCAATAATATAATTCAAAAATTTGACTCAAAGCATGTATAATCATCAACCCAACCAAAATCATACCATAATAATAATTCTAATTAAACTTTAAATAATACAACTTTATGACAATTTAACACCCATTCACTTTAAATAACAAAAATCAATTGCATAATATGTCTCATAAATCTAAGATTTTCTCAAATACTTACATTAATATTTCATAGGGGTCTAAATATAAATATTATATTATACATAAAACTAAAGGAGTTTTCAGAATTTGTTGGGGGAATTTCAGAATTTTTTTTTGGGGGGGGGGGGGGGGAGTTTCACTCATCTGGGTTCTTGCGCCTCCACCCTCCATTGGAGCATACCAGTGAAAATATCCAATAGGAAGGAGTAGCAACAGGAGTAATAGCAACTGGCAAACAATTTCTCCTCTCCGGATCTGGCGAACAAATTTGGCTTCCTACATTTTAGCGAGGTGGATAGCTAAAGTGTTGAACTAAATTTGTGAGGGTTACTCGCCAAAATAGCTAAAAGAAAGGAGTAGCGAGGGGGCGTTTGAGATGCTCTTACAAATTTACTCTAATCACACTCTTTATTTTAGCTAACTATTTCACCTAACTTTCAATAATTTAAAAAAAATATGATATATATAGAGAGAAAGAGGTAGAAAGAGAATTTAGAGAAGGTAAATGACTCTCCATATTTAGAGAACCATTTAAGTCAAATGAAAAATAGAGAATTGGTTGGAAATTTTTTTTTTATGTTTAATTAAATAAAATAGTTAAAAAAAAGAATGATTGAAGATACTCTTACACTACATAATAATAATACTCTATTCATTCCTAAATATCTGTCGTTTTACACAATTTTTTTTGTTTCACAATATCTGTCATTTAATAAAACCAAAATATAATTAATATTTTTTCTTCAAAATTTACTCTTATTTATATTTTTTTAATAAGTGCTTAATAGATTAAGTGTAGACTAAGTGTTTTTCATATTTTTTTTTTATCAATACGTATTGAATAAGAGTATTTTAGTTTTGTGCAATTATCTTTTACTCATATTAGAGCTATTTAATAATTTTCTTAATCTCTATATAAAAATCTTAAACTACAAATATTTAAGAACGAAAGAAATAATAAAGAATGACAAAAGGCAGAGAGCGCGAGCGCTCGGAGCCTAGGAATAAAAAAAAAAGTAATTGAGCCCAAATAATATGATAACATATTATTTAAAGTATTTATTGAGATCTATATGACATGCCACTAAATAAAGAAGCCCATGTCAACTAGCATGTCATTTGGACTCTAAATTTAATCTAAAAATTTGATCAATGTAATATTGCTGTAAAAATAGAAAGCCTTTCACAGTTCCCGCGAAAAGAAAAACACAAATCCAACTGCCACGCTGGCCATCCTCGTGATACCGCTCTCCACCAATCAAAACAATTCCTCTCTCCCTATATAATCAAAATGTCCCCACACACACTTTCATCATACAAGCACACGCACTCTCCTTTCTCTCTCAATTGAATTCCATTTAGGGTTTTGTGATTTGATAAAGATATCGGAGGGATGAGTTCAGGTGCGGCTTCAACAAAGGGTGGGCGAGGAAAGCCGAAGGCCTCGAAGTCTGTGTCGAGGTCTCAGAAGGCTGGTCTACAGTTCCCAGTGGGTAGAATTGCTAGGTTCTTGAAGGCTGGCAAGTATGCCGAGCGTGTCGGTGCCGGAGCTCCGGTTTACCTCTCTGCCGTCCTTGAATACCTCGCTGCTGAGGTATATATTACTTCCCATTTTCTTGTTTTCATTCCGATATGTGTGCGCGCTCGTCAATGAGAATTGGGGATTGTTATGGTTGATTGTAATATTTTGTTAATTTGTTGTTTTTGGAGACGGGTTCATTTTGTTGGAGACGTTTGAAGCTCTCCATGCTTCAATTTCAATTTTTAGATAAACTTTTGAGCTTTTAAGATTTTTCTGTCTTAAGTTTCATATTAGTGAATGGTGATGGATTTATTTATGTTTTTATCGTATTGTTTTCTGATTTCATCACATTTTCATGTTACATTTGGTTGTAATCGCTTGCAAATTTGTTAATTTTTTTCAAAGGTTTTTTTTTCTTGGGATTCGGTTGTAGTTGGTTGCAATTGCTTGCTAATGTGTTCACTATTTAAAAAAAATATTATTTTTTCTTGGGGTTTGGTTTTACTTGGTTGCTATCGCTTGCTAATTGTGTTCATTTGTGATGCTCTCAATGTGTGTATTTCAGTTTTTTCGATGATATTTTAAGCTTGTTTTTCTATCTGAAGTTTCATAATTGTGAATTGTAATGGTGTTAATTGTTTTTGTAATATTGGGACATCTGTTTGATTTGGTCTGAATATGATTTGTATTTATCAATTACTAGGGGGGTTTGGGTGCCAAACAAATTGAGATACAATTCATTTATCACTATCGAGCTATGTTTGCATGTGATCCTTGTTTGTGTTGTCATTTAACCACTACATCCATAAATCTCCATTAATATGAGTTGGTCTTAATAGATGTATGTTGAAATTTCATTCTGTTTGACATCTAAATGAATCTGTATTGGTTTTAGCATATATGATTCCTTGGATTGGACCAAGTATATGGATGAACATATGTAGTGCTTAGTTTGATCTAAATGCTTTGTGTTACATTCTTGCACTCAAATGTTAAGGTAATATTTGGTGATTTGTTTCATTTTATTATTTTGATGTTGTATGCATATGGGACTGGATTATATTTTTTTCATCTATGGAGATATATGGAACTGGATGCATAGAAATGAGGGGTCTTATGTGTGGGTTTTTGAGCTTGTGATTTGATGATGGTGATTATTGAATACAGGTATTGGAGTTGGCTGGGAATGCAGCAAGGGACAACAAGAAGAATCGCATAGTGCCAAGGCACATTCAGCTTGCAGTGAGGAATGATGAGGAGCTTAGCAGGCTTTTGGGCTCTGTCACCATTGCCAATGGAGGTGTTTTGCCTAATATTCACCAGAATCTCTTGCCCAAGAAGGTTGGCAAAGGCAAGGGTGATATTGGTTCGGCCTCTCAAGAGTTTTAGGACTGTACTGGTTGCTCTCTCTACACCAAGAACATGTTTGTGTAATATATAACTGTTTTGAATGAAATGGCAGGATTGCTTTTTGGATAAATTGTATTGATTTGCATTAGATTCAGCTTAGCCTGTTTGATGCTGAGATTAGCCATTTTTGTGTCTGAAATTGCTCCAAGAATAGCATGCTTCTGTGTGCCAGTTTGAAAAAATTTGAACTGCTTGTTGGCTCCAGTTGTGCTTCTTTAGAGGGACCTTGCCCTCTGTTCAAAAAGAAAGAGGGACCCAATGGTGAAATTAAAGAATACTAAGCCCAATGATGGTAACTACAAAGATGCTGATAACAATGGTTGCTTCATTAGTTTATACACTTCGCGTGTGGCAGTTTACCCTTTTTGGTTTGGTTTATTTTTGATGTTTAGTGTCAGTTTTGTTTGCTGTGTGGATACCATTTTCCAAATTAGTTGCCCTTGGAAATTTTTAATTTGTCTTAGGTGAGAAAATGCTATTGTTTGGTGCGAGAGTTTGATTATTATTGTAATTAACATTGAAAAAAATGTTGGAATTTTGATCTGTATGGTTAATGATGATTCTGAAGTGCAGAAAGATGTATGTACTCCATTTATTGAATTAAGCACTTCCCATAAGTACCATCTAATATAGAATCCATAACATAGTCGTGTATGTATGTCATGTCTAAGTCTAGTCTTATTCTTTGCTATTGTTTCATAGACTCAAAATATATGGTTTTTTAATCTAACCTCATTGTACCTCTTTAGAGTTGATTGTATACTCATTTAGGTCAGATGAGATTATCCATCTCCCTCTATTGAACCTATCTACTCTTCATTCGGTTGATTGGGAGAATTAAGTTTTACGCTTCTGTGTAGAGAGGACCCTGAGTTCCTGGTTTTTTTCCTCATGGGTGGCCACTGTTGGTGCTTTTGGGCCTTGGTTTACATGCAATGCACAATGTGTTTTTTAGTGCATGATGTTTCCTTATGGGTATTGAAAGAGTTAGATCCATGCAATTTTACTTTGCATACAGAAAAGATTTTATTACTCAAAATTTCTTTAGTGGATAACCCAAGTATTTATAGTTTCACCTTTCAAGAAATACCCTGTATTGACCACAGAAATATAGGAGTACAATTTTTTCCTTATGTTTTTGGGATTCCTCGTGAATGTCATATCCTGACCAAAATGATTTTAGAATTGCAAACGTATTCTTTCTTTGTGACTTTCTGGACAATAAGGTTTTTAAAATATTTAATGGCCACTGAATATTACCCACCGATGGAATTCTTGTCTCCAACAAGTTGATTCAGTCATGAGAACTTCTCTGCCACACCATGCAGATCGATCACATGAACGTCCCATATATTATAGCAGAATCTGCATGGATTTAGTACTTCTGCCAATAACAATAATAGAGACATCTTTTTCTAGTTAGACTTCTATCAATGCAATGAAAAAACCATCATTTCCTATTTGTTTGTCCTATCAAATAGAAAGAAAGTGAAACCCCAAAAGAGTCATTCTTTACCACTTTAGAGAGTGGGGGTGTAGGGGGGTTTACATACAACCGAAGCAAAGAGGTTTATGATTGAAGCTCAGAGGTATTCTTATCATTTGGTAGATCCAAGTCCATGACCTATTTTGGGTTCACCCGGAGCTTTGGCAATCACAGAAGGAGGTGTGATTTACACACCCATTTCAAGGGAGTGCAGCACTTCTTAGTTTGGACCTCATATTTCTCCTATATACGATGTTCATATGATGGAGAGATGTTCTACGTGAATCGAGGTTGGAAGGACATCATAGCAAAGTCGTACAATATCACCTTGCTTCTAAGCTTCCACCACTGCTAATGCAGTACACCCTACTACAATTTGTGGTAGTTCTCCACTCATTAACCAAAAGTGCAGACTCTCCACAGCCAAGGTTTCAACAACTCATGCCTCAGAGGGCCTTATACTTCTCGGATAGCAAAGGTCTCTAACTCTAAATGTCTTTACCATGTAAAGTACTTTCTATTGTATCAATGCAAAAGCCAACCGACCTTCCTAATGCCATGGCTTCTGCTAGTCTTGATCTAGCTTCATGATGACGAACTAATATCAGGACTGTATTCAGTGCAGCCCATCTTACTTGTAAGTCAGCTTCATTCTCTGAGAATCCCACCCATTTAAGAACACTGTCCAACTGCTTTCTAAATCAGCTGTTAGCGATCTGAATTACGGAATTCAGTGCAAAAACACACGATAAGAGGCATGAACTGACCTTCTCAACATCAGAGTAATGTCCTTCAGAGTATCCAAAAACCAGATGCTCTGCTACCAACCCTCCAAGTATAACACATAAAAACCTCTTTAAAACCTGTTTACAAAACGAAACCCCAAATCATCACAAAGGCAATTTGCAGCTATAGCCTCTATATATGTATGCATAGGTTTTCCTAGACAACTTGCATACTTAGATGAACTATTCTTTAAGAAACACACGACACTCATCATAAAAAGGACATAAAAACTTGAAGGTCAAAAAAATTTGACATAAAGTGCAATAAAACAAGTGCAACAACAGTTTAAAAAGTTCTATAAGACTTTTTCATAATAAACCCAAGTTAAACTCTTTCATGACACTTCCCTCGTTCTCTGATCCATTTTATTGATGTTTTTTTGAATTATTAAAAAAAAAATAACTTGACAAACCAAGAGTTGCACTTGAAGCAAGGACCACTAGTTTTCAATTGAATCTTCCATATTTTTTAATGAACACGGACTTTACTGGAATAAGAAATGGAACGAATATACAGAACAAAACATTTCTCAAGCTGGAAGCTGGTAGTACGTAAGACATGATGACATAAGTCCCCCATAAGCAACGGCTCAAACCTGATGACATAACTCCCCCATAATCGGAGCCACACATTCAGTTGATTTGAACCATATGAAAATTGGGTGGTGAAACACTCTGTATATTCCCGTAAAGTTCAACTCCCCACCTAACTCCACCCTTTTGTCTTTCTATTCTTATGTTTCAAGTTTGTCATTTACAAAGCAGCCATGGTCCTAATAAAGATTAAATTTCCATTTCAGTAGGATTCTTCAGATAATGAATATCAAGTTGGTCATAATTTCTAACCCATAATTCGAGATGATTAGTCGTGTTCCCCTATATTCCATTAGAATGTCAGTCCTCAAAACTTGACACTAAATATATAAGTACTTACCATGATTGTCAGGTAAGTAAAAAGGATTAACAAAAGAACAAGATATCTAACCGTGAATGAAATTTTCCTTTTAATGGCCTGCAAGCATAGGAATGTTTATGTCAGAAGCTAATAACGGGGTTAGAACAACAAAGTAAATTTATTTTTGGAAATGCCGAATAAGAGGGTTCAATAACTAGTGAGCAACAAGAAGAAGAGTAAAACTGTAAAAGCAACAAAAAAAAAGAAGAAAAAAAATAGAAGCCACCACCAGAGTTTAGTAATGAATCCATGATCGGGTACCTTATATTCATTTCAAAGTTCACCATCTTTTTAGGTGATATCAAATGTCAAAATCCAGTTAATGTGGTTACTTGGCAAACATGATGACTCCATTGCAGGAAGCTTATTTCTTTCTGAAAAGAATAACCAATTCAGCTTGGAAAATTTTCGTCTTTTGTGTAGAAATAGAACTCTTCAGAAGAAAATCACCTCATTAGCTGCGTAGGTATAAATTCTAGGTGTTGGATGAAGTTCTCTCCAATTTCCAAATACTTGTCTGGAGATACAAGTAAACCTTTTCCTCCAAAGATCCAATTTTGTGAGAAATATCAGAGTGAGACACTACAGACTCCATTTGTTATTTTTTAGAATAGGATTACTATCACACTTTACTACAGTTGATTGACTAACATATTATGTCAGACATGATAATAAAAGCATGGTTCAAAGTATCGGCCAATACCGATACGAGTCAGCCGAGTCTTATCCGACTCGGCACCTTCCAAGACAATATCATTACTCGCATGACTCGGCCGAGTTGTACCCGAGTTGCTGAGTTATCGTCACCGAATCGGCCAATACAATTCCGCAACGCCGAGGTATTACCTAAATCTCTCGTCATGTTCAACATTTTCTTTTAGGTCGTATCACCCGATAACGTGTCGCGACGCCGGAACCGATGTGTTTCAGAGCTCTCCGAGTCGATGGTCGATACCGTGACCTTGAACCATGAATAAAATAACGATCCACATCAAGCTATAACAAGGTGGAACCATGTAGTAGGTAAGAAAGAATCGAGTTCAAGCAAATTTACAGTTTATGACTTTTGCTTAGATCAATGATCACAATTGCATTTCGGTTCATAGTTTGGGTTAGCTCTGAACCAAAAATATTTGCAAAGCAATCGAAAATGTTTCAAAACAGAATGAAAAGTTATAAAAAAAAATTGGAGTTCTGATTCCAAAACATTGGCCGAACAAAACATCATGAAACATTCAACAACTTTGGATTTTTAATTTCCGTCAATTATTTAATGCGGTTTCACCGAAACATTATGGTCACTTTGGTGGAAATAAATCAAAATTGAGATCCAGGATCATGAAACAGAAGAAAAATAATAATAATCTCACCACGTCACTTAGTTTTCCTTTGGTGAAGTCTTTATATAAAGTAGTTGCAGTATCAAGCTGCACACAATTGGAAAAAAATATGTAACTAGGCATTGGGAAAAGCAATATATAAAAGCAAGATAAAGCAGCTCTCGAACGGTCTAGACCCTAGAGATACTTTGATTTTGTCCACCTATCAAGGTGAACCCAAGTAGGCCCATTTTCGAAACAGAACATGGCACAAACAATGAAGTCCCACCCTTGAGTCTCAGATTAATTTTATGTAAAAGATTTCTATCACGTAAATTGCTCTACATCACAGGCCACCATCAGATACACTAAAATTCCACATCTAACACGTAAACTTCAAGCATTCTATCCTGCTTTTATACGTCGCTGAATTTGTCAAGCACGTCATATAATTCATAAGTTGAGAAGAATGCGGGTTAGCTACTAGCTTCTTACCTCATCAAAACCAGTAAGAGATATACCTCAAGTAAGTTAAGGGAAGAAATGGTAGGCTGTACATGAAGAACTGAGTAACCCAGGGAAAGTTTTGAAATGGCATTTACATGTAGTTTGAAACCTGTAATCATATATTAATTTCCTGGTATATGAGTATAAAAGAAATCAAGGGAACTGCAAACCAAAACCAACGCTTGGTTTTCCAACAACAAGGTGTGCTGACCAAGTGAATGTACATTCAGACTTACATGGAGCGATGACAAGTGCTCATCCATCTAAGTGAGATGTTGCGGATTCGAGTCTGGGACTTTGCCTCTCTAAAAATGAGGGTAAGGCTATCTAGCACTTATCTCTCCCAGATCCCGCCATAGGCGGGAACCTTGTGCACTACACACGATGACTTAAGTTTGGGCTGAAGCTTTTGAAAGGTTGCCCACATAGCGTCCAACAAACCAAAATATAAACAAGCCTATCTATCTCATAGAAAATTACCAAGGATTTTAACTACCTAACTGCCTCAACTTCTTGTGGGCAGGTAGTAAGCAAAGTCGATGCAAAGAGTGAACTTACTTCACTAAGAAACTCAAAACCGAGAAACTCCACCTTTCCTCCAGCAAATTCTTCTTGCCTCAGACCCTCCATGCTAGGTACTCTATATCTTTTTGGTAATACCCCAAGCAAGTAGCCAACTAGAAAATGACCGGCTTCGTGCTGCATAAAAATACCTTCAGTTGTTAAAGTGTATCATCATGAAGAAATTTGATGCTGCAAATTGCACACAATTGAACACTAGAAGAGCAGTGGATTCAATACATGCATTTAGAATTTGGCTGTGTAAGGTTTCTCCCTATCCGAATTGTGAAGTTGACCATGATGAAGGCTTAATGTTTCACAGTATTGCTTAATATTGAACATAATCAAAGGGGAATGAGCCTAGTGTACCAATCAACATATGTTCCAACAATATTGGGTTGCACTTGCACAGCCAAATCCAGCCTATTCACTACTACATATTCAATGTAGAGTACTGAAGCAAAAATAGTTTTCTGAGCAGCCAGATATGTACTGCAGGTTGATGACACCGAGAGATTAGACCAGGAAGAAATTAGCCAGATATATATATATATATATATATATATATATATATATATATCTATCAAGCATGAGAAAACTGTCTGCAATACTAATGTAGAAGTAATTGTTTATATATACCAAGCTCACTCCCCATCAAGAAGTTAGTGCAATACTGAAGTTCTTAAAATCTAGTTGCCATCAATGTCAAAACTTATAAACCAGAAAGCTGATAAGTTGTTTCATAGTAAGCCTATAATAATGTAGTTTCAAAAATAGCGAAGAAGTGTGTGAAACCAAGATAGACACCATAATAATCCTGAGCATAACGTTTACATTGATGGAAGGGATAAGAAGAGGAAATAATGGAAGCAATGCAATACATTAGGGCAGAAAGTTATTTGCAGGAACTTGAACTCGGATATTCCATCTATTGTTTGCCATTCAGCAGAAAAATCATATTAGCAGTTTTGCATCCAACAAACAGGATCAGGTGTTACTTAGAGAGAGGGAGAGAGGGAGAGGGAGAGAGAAAGAGTGTATGTAAGTGAATGTTTAGCGGGTAATGCCTGGCTTCTAGACAGATTGTAACAATATGGAAATTATCAAAGATAAACAAAAACACTACAGAAATCTTGAGTATCATCTCTGAGCAGTGAGGACCACAAACTTTACAACAGCATAAAACATTGTTCACAATGTCCTATCCCAACAAAACCAGATCAGTAACCTAAATCTGGCAAATCAACAAAATCCCTTTCTTCAGCTGTTCAGCAAAGCATGTGATACTTATTACTTTCTTATGAAAGCATAAGGCTGGCTTTCCCATCCTCTGTACAGATACATAATTAGTGCACTTCTACACCTTCGTCAATCATGATTTTTCTTCCATATTCAAACTGAATGAAAGACCCCTAATTTCATTACTAGTTGATACCACCTCAGCTCTTTTACACATTTCTAGTTTCTATTACTCTCAGACCCATTCCAAATTCTATCTTCAGAGCTCAGATCCTTACCAATGCTTTATTTATATTACTAAAGTTTAACTATTAAAAGAAAAAAGTTCTTTTATATTACATTTTGCCAAAATCATGCATCTCAATGCAGACAAGATCCTATCATTTGTTTGTCCACATAAGCCGCCAACTAATTATTAGCTGAACATAGTATTAGTATTTTTAGTCGCTGACACAAGGAGTAGCCAGGTAGAACATCTGAAATGTGAAGAGAGTTGTTCAAATTTCAAAGCTATTTCCTAAAAGGAAATTTTGTAGATATGAAGACCCCTACATTATTGACAATTAGAAGGCTCTGATCAATTGCTTTGCTCAAAAGGAAAGAAAAATTACATTGCTATTTTTATAGCAAAATTGATAACTGTCCCAGCACCTAATAGAATATCTGACACAGAACGCTCAAAGAATTTTTTTCAGTACTTGTGGCCATGCACAAGTTTTAGGCTGCCAGTTATGTATAGTCATGCCAGAATAACATGGTTTTCACTTCTCTCCAAACTTCCATGATAAGTTCTACCTTGCCAATACGGTTGCACAGTATGTTCAAAAGGTTAGTATTGTTACCATTGAATTGGTTCTATTTGGAGGCCAATATTGCCATCAAGCTGCACTAGTTTTCAGGAAAAGCTTCTTTGTATCACCGTATCACTTAGGTATTAAAAAAAGTTTATGGAAGAGACTTAACCTTGTCAGCAGCAAGCATGGCCTGTTTAATATACCACATTGAAAAAGTGGAGAGTGTGTGCATTTTGAATCCCTCTTTAATCAAGAGATGAGGAAGCAAAGGGACGTCTTACTTGCATACATCTTAGATGATCTTCGCAAGGACAATCATAGTTTTCACCTTCCATAAAAGTCTCAAGTCCTAATGATGAGACCTACAAAAAAATCCAGTAACAAGTCATTTGATTAAATAAATCAATATGCAACCAAAAAGCAGCAAGTAAAAGGGCATGTAAAACGTCCCTGTGGAAATCAGCAAAATAATCACATTGCCTGAATAACATAGATGCATTGTCTTAAAGCACCAAAAATTACCATTTAAGAATTAAAATTAACACAAGGCATGTAATGACAGGGACATCTTTAAGAAATCAATCAAGCAACAAAACACAGGAAAGAGATGGAAAATCTGGGCGTGAAAAAACAATCCATGAACTAAAGGATTAAAACCGCCAAAATAATAGTTAATGCATACTTCTTCATCAAGTGCAGATAATTAATTATAAACAGAGCATGGTCAAACGGTCATAAATCTACCACCTGACATACCCCAGAAAGGCTTAAACATTTCCACTTTCCACAAAGAATGCTTCAACCTTCAATTGTGAGTATGACATTTAATGCAATGTGATATCCATACTGCATGTAAAAGCAATTTACAAATAGGCACACAAGTCAGATCAAGTTGCATCTCTATGTATAGACACTCTAATCATCTAGACTTTATTTGCCTCCCAACACCAACTTAATTTTTTCAGTGCTTTAGTTCCAGAAAATAGAAAATTTGAACTCACCTCTGTTTTCTCGATTTCTGGCGATGTGGTTTTTTATTGTCCTTAAATAATCAGATATGCATCTTTAATTATAATTCTGCATGCCAAACTCACTCATCTTACTTCCTTAATCTGGGAAAGCTGCTCTGACATTAACACATGGAGCAGGTCCTACATTATCTTTAAGTACTCCCCTCAAATGAAATTCTAACCTTAATAGAACATGAGCTTTACTAATCTTTCTGGTTGCAATTTCAGACTATCCAACTCATTCTTCGACCTAGAGAGAGTTTTTCAGAAAGGTATGTCGAAATTGGTGCAAATATGAAGGACGTTCAACTTAGGGAATAAGGGCTTGTACCACCTGCAAAGCTAACTGTTGTTCTATTGGTTTGGTGGTCACTAACATTGATTACACAGCTGGTCTATTTTGACATGATGTTTCATATATACCATGGATTGGGAAGGAGTATGGCAAATTTTTTTCATTGTTGTTTCAGCAGTTTCCCGTGTCATCATTCTATTTGACTTTTTTATTTTCTACAAGGGCTTGCCAGAATCATTGATACGAAAATTACAACTCTGAGACACTGAACAAATTTGCTAGGACTGCTATAACTCCCATGATGTAAACCACGAAAAATATGAAGGTGAACCACAATAAGAAACATACTTCCCCGTTAGCATGTATATAGCAGAGCAACCAGCCTCCCAACAAGTTCTCTACATATCTTATAACTCTCTCCCTGTGGGCGTGAAGTCTAATGAAACTGATAGGATGCGATAGAAAGCCATTGGGAACCAAAAAAGAATAAAAGCTTGGCTGGACTCTAGGCTCTATCATCTCTGTTTTACACCAGTATGGCCCCTTGTACTCCATACCTCCAAGAACCAATCATCACACAAAAAGTATTACTTCTGATAAGCATCTATTCATCTCTCTTGAAGATTGGGAACAAAATGGAGAGCTAAATGACTCTAAGCCATATGTTTGGAATGAAATATCATCTGTGAAAATCATATCCAGACATATAGTCAAAGTGATAAGTACTATGGACCAGAAACCTCTTATTGTCTTGGTTGAAAGGGGGCGTCGTAATCTCTATGGCTCAGAAGTAGCTGTGATCAACAATCCTCACCAGTGAGTCGTCTAGACAGAGATGCTGATCAAGAAAAGAGAGCTGTATTATTTAAGGCGTAAAAAGAACCGAAGCAACCAAGGCTCCTGAAGCCTAGGCGAGAAGCGAGAGGCGAAATGAAACGCTTCATCGATGCGAAGCCAATAGTAAAAAAAAAAACAAATATTTTAGTTTAATTACTTCTAAATATCCAAGTTCTAATTTTACAAATTCTAATACTAAATATTTAAATGCAAGAAAAACCATAAACATTTAAATTCAAATAACCACTAATAATATCTCATATCTTAATGACAACATAAGCAATACAAAAATAGAGAAGCACTACAAAGATGCAGAAGCAAAAGTAGAATCAGAAGCCATAAAAATAAGAAGAATTACAAACAAAATCAGCATAAGCAATACAAAAATAGAAACATAATAAGCCGATTAGCAGAAACAGAAGCCATAAACAGAATCAACATAAATTGAGAAGAAGAATCCCGGCCAAAATAAAAAAGTAGCACAAAAACACAAACACAGAAAAAGAGCCAAAATAAAACAGAAGCAGAGAAGAAGAAGCAAAAGTACCAACAGGAGCAGGAGGTGCTGGTACTGGGCAATGTTTTTTGTCGAAGAAGAAGAATTAAAAAAAGTGAAAGAAGAAGAAAATAAGAGAAGGAGAGAAAAAAACAGAAGTAACAATAGAGAAGAAGAAGAGGGAAGGCAAACCTGTCGGGAGTTGGGACTTCTTCAGCAGCTGCTCCATTCTTGTTTAGGCAAATTTAGGGTTTGGGTGTTAGATATATGGGATAAGGTGCAATTGGGTATATTGGCATCTCACAATTTTATTCCAATTCCCCCAATCCAACGGTCCAGAATAAAAATAAAGCTACTTAAAAAATTTAACAAAAACGTCACTTTTCTCGCCTTTCGCTTAAGCGCAAGGCGCTTTTTTTCCTCGCTTCAATCACATTCGCTTTACCTAGAGTGCTCAAGGTGAGAGACCCTCGCCTTCGCTTAGGCACTCGCCTAGGCGAGCTTTTCACAACACTAAAAGAGAGAATGCAAAATAACAAAGTCAACCCTATCCCAGCCCTTGTATCCGTCTGTAAAAACTTGGACTTCAAAATTAAATGATCTCATTGTTCACACTGGACTTTGAATGAGTCGTTGACTAGTGCATTGCATTTTGTATCACATAAGCCAGAGGTAATGTCAATATTCAGTCTAGTACTCCCCACAGCCCAATTAGTAAGACAAGCTTAACAAATGCTTAATAACATCATTCGTCTAGAAAATATCATTAATAATTGGTATCCTTTGGAAATTGGTCTGATGAATCATTTCAATAATTACACCACCTTGTTCCTTTTATCCTCCTTTCTCGGGTTTCATAACTTAGGCGCTTAAACATTAGTTTAAACTTATAACTCAATCAGATAAACTCATAGCATCATATTGAATCAAATTGAAGTGAAAGATACGGGTTTGTATATGAGTGTAAATTCAAATGAACCAATATACCTCACCGGTTAACGGAAACTGAATGCTACGCCTAATGGAATCCAGAACTGAATCAACTAATGATCTGAGAGATGATGTATCCATTCCACCGAGGTCTAATTCATCCAAGGATGAAATTCTTTGAGACACCTCCACAAAAGGAAAAAAAAAAAATAGGCACCTTCAAAAACAATAAATTATGACAGTAATTGGGGACCAACAATTACACTAGAACTCAGGGAAGGAACTAAAATTCTATCCCAAGGGGGGCAAACAATAGCATAGATAAAATTTTAATTAACTAGATAAACAACTATACAAAATCTGTCAAAATTAACTTTTATACAAAAAAATTGTAAAAATTAATTTGGGTCATAAAATCCAAAAATCAGTTCTTACTATCTTAAAAATTAGTTTGTCACAGTGTCATAATCTCATGTTATAGTATCATGTAATTACTTGAAAATAAATTATCCTCACAAATAATAGTTTCGCACGATAAGTCAACATATTACTTTTGATATAAGCTATATTTATAATCTAATTTTTTTCAAAAATCACACTTTTTTAATATTCTTTTGTCTTCAAACTCATCCAAGCAAATATCTTCAGTTGTAAAACTATCACACAGTATTTTAAACACAACCAATGTTCCAATATTCCTTTTACCAGGCACTATTGAGAACGACAAGGTTGGAACCTAGGCCAACAATTAACCTGTAAGTATGAGCTCAATCGTGTGTATTTAAACTGGGCAACCTGCCCTTCCAAGCCGTTTTTCTAGTTCTATCCTTCTGTAGTCTGGAAACACTTTCCGCCAATATTAATTGTACAACCGCGACCATCAACCTAGAAGTGGATTTATAAATATTTTTTTATTTTTTATTTTTCTCGGTAACCAAACAGAACCTAGAAAAGAGAAAGTACCTGTTTAGCGGCACCAAAGCCACGGAGACCACCGGGCTTACCTTGCAACTGCTTGACCAGAGAGAGCGCCGCCCTGAAGTTGCTCTTTGAAAGCTCTCTGTCCACTCTTTTCAGTGCTCTACGACGTCGTATTTCCTCAGGCTCCTTTAGTCTCGTCCGGACTCGGGTTTGACTCACCGGTACCCCTCGCACGGACGACATTTTGCATTCGCGTATGATAACAGAACGCCGTTTGTTTCCCTGGAAAAAAACTAGTCCAACCCAGTGCCCAAGGGCCTGTTTGGATAGACAGAAAATAAGGATGTAAAATGATTTGCCCAAAAAAAAACATATTTTCTCGCAGGACAAAATTTTGAAAAATTTTGGAAAAGTGCAAAGCTATAGGTATCGGGATCCCAAACAAAATAATGAACTCGAATCAGTTAGTCCGTTAATTTTTTTTCAACAGGACTCATTCAAGGGTCGATAATCATTAAAATTTCTAATTTGAGATACACAATATTTCCAATAGAAAAATATAGTTTTTAGCTTGAAAAACATAAAAGTTATTTATATATTATTTTACTTGATTAAGTTGCCCTTATTTATTTTAAACAAAAAAATAGATTTTTGTGGTAAAAGATTACTTGAACATTTTTTTTTTCCAATAATAGTATTTGGACATAACATATTAATATAATTTGATGACTTAATTTATCGTAACCATTGAATTGTTAACAGATCTTAAGGGTGTACTGTCAATCTAAAAATTTGTGGTTGATCATGTTAATAAATTAAGTCAACAAATTATATTCAAATAACATTACTTTTTTCTATTGACCCTTTTTTGCTCTTGTATAGTTTCACAATCTTGGGCTATTATTGTCGAGAATTGTGTCTTTTAAACAATTTATAAATTGTCAGTGATAATTGTTAGAGGATTAAATTATTTTAGGGTAAACATGACAATTAGTTCTTAAACTTTGTCTCTTATTTTAAAAATGTTCATTGAACTTTTAATTATCTTAATTTAGTTATGAAACTACAATTTCATGTCAATGAAATCCTTCCGTCTATTTTAAAAGTAGAGTAAACCAAGGTAGATTCTTGTGTTTGTCATATGACTGTTCACATCGTATGCATCCATTTAGTCTAATTGGTGAAATGGATGAAAGAACTTTATTGATACGAAATTAATAGTTAAAAAGTTAAATTGAGGCATTGAAAAATAAAGTTTAAGAGCTAATGTATAATATTTACCCAATATTTCAATATTGCAATATAAAACAGAATGGAGCTCTCGCATGACCATTCTACTACTTGAAGGGATAAGTGACTAAGTGAGGCTCTTGAAAAGTGTTGAAAGTTTAACGACAAACGATGCAGCAAGAGGGTTGGGACAATGACACTATTTTAGAATTAACATTAACCCTAACATTAGGGGTAGCTCGTGATATTTTCAAACTAAAAAAGAGGTTTTTTTTTTTAAAAATAAATGTTATTTAAAATTTATTCCTCTCACTTTTTAAGATACCACTGCCCAATCTTAAAATGATAATACTAATAGAGAATTAGACTTTGTGAATTTTATGGTGTATAAAAATAACAAGTAAACTAACAAAGGCAAACCAACAAAATAAATAAATAAAAACAAAAATAAAAGCAGAGTAGCTGCCCTTGTTAACTAGAGAGAGAGAGAGATATAAAGTAGAAATGGAAATTTGTTGGTCTTCCAAATTATTGTACCGTGCACAGAGAGAGGAGAGTGAGAGAGAATAGTGGTTGGGAGAAAATGTTATAGAATTCACTTTTTTATTGTTACTTTTTTAAAAAACAATTATGATTTTTTTGGTGTTATGGGCTGGATAAATAGGTCCAAACTATCCAATTTAAATCTAACATTATTTTTTTTGTTGGGCTTAATTTTTATAAAATTAATTTTTTATGGAACCTTTGGAAGTCGGTATACGAAATTTGACTTAATTGTCAAAAAAAACATAGGAAAAATATTTTGTAAAAAAGTCTACCATAGAAAGACTTAAATACCCTTTTATTATAAATAAGTTTTCAAAAAAAATTTGGAAAAAATTTCCACACACACACACAGTTTTATATATATATATATAAAACAAAAACCTAAAATTTAGAAAAATTAAAACCCATAATAAATCCTCTCCATTGTTTAGGGATATGTTTTAAAATTTTTGGAAAACTTTTGAAATTTGATAACTAAAATTAAACAATTTTAATTATCTCATTTTAAAAATAATTAAAATCAAAAAATTTTAATTTTAGATTTAATTTGGTAACGTATATATGTGTGTTAATATAATTAGTTAATGTCTTTAAATGTGAAATTGGCGCATTATAGTCATATTTCACTAGAATCTCATCTAGTTTTTGAAATATTATTCCACACCTTTGTAGTTCATATTTATATTTTACTAACTACTTTTATTGTCTACGTCGTTACTAACAATGAGAAATATATATTATGTGATGGCATATCTCTTATAAATCACCAAATTTACTCTCACCTTGTATATCTATATCTATACTAGTATGAAATATCAACAAAAGTGAAAAACTTTTGTTTGACCAAAATAATCTTAACAAAATAATTAATGTCAATCATATCTTTTTGTAGTTAATAACATTATTAAATCCTAACTTTTATGAAGTTCATAAAATCTTTTGTCTTTTGCTCTTCTTCAAATATTGATTTAATTACATACATAAACTATATTAATTGTCAATCTCATAGTCTTCTCTATATACCAACTTTTGTCATTCCTTTGCTTTGTTGGATTTAATATATTAATAGTAGTTTTATTATTTACATACTAATTTGCATTCATAGAAAAAATTGATTGATTATTATTGTCTTAATAGGACAATTAATGCCAATACTATCTTCTTCTTTTTTGAGTAATGATGATTATAATTAACAACATTAATAATATATCCAATCATCTGCGCATCCAATAATATTCACATCACATTCTTATCTGCCTCTATTCATTAACCTCTTTAAACATTCTTCTATTCACTTCATCTTCCTCAACAACCGAAAAGTAGCAAAGAAGACAAAGAAACAACTCTAAAACCAAACTCTTTTGTGACTTGGGGAAAGTCCCAACAATCCATTATTACCCATCTCTATTCATTTTCTTCTTTAAACATCCTACTTGCTCTTCAGTTGGTCAATAAGGCATATGTCTGCAATAGAGGCACTATAATAGGTGCACTTGGCTAACAGATAAAAACCTTGGTCCGCTTAGCATAATTAATGTCTCAGATAGCATTGATAGTCCCAAGTTTGATCTCATCCTTCTTGGAATGGGCATTGATGGGCATGTTACATCACTATTTCCAAATCATTCAGTGCTTTAATGAAAGAGATGAATGGATAACTTTCATCATTGACTCACTCGGGCTCCCATTTAAGAGTCTTGATTGTTAACTTTCATCATAACGGAGCTGTGGTAGATAGTAGAAGCAAATAGAGGTTGTACAATTGCTAATTACTTGAAGAATAATGAGATTGTGTTAAAATCTTCCAACTTGGGGTATTTTTATTTTTTTGGTTGATGGGACTGCATCATCATTTCTTTTTAGCGTCAGGTATTCAATTATTGAATTGCTTACTTAATTTTGTGTGAGTGTTTTTCATGATTGTCTCAATATTGTTTTAATGTTAAGCAATATGTTAGTTGCGCTTGCTTCTCTGTGTTTGCTTAACAAGTCATGACATGTTTGAAGATGAATAGTCAGAATTTTTTCTAGATTTTTGCTATTGTTTTTGTGTTTCTTAGTTTGAAAAATTTATTACGTCGTTGTTTGGTCATTAGCTACATATTTCTTCAATTGGAAGGTATGTCCTTTCTATTTCTCATGGTCCATGTAAAGAAAATTTTGTGGCTTTGTATTAATTTTCATGTTTGTTAGATCTTGGGAACATTTTTATCAACATTGTTGGGTAAAATATGAACAGATTGCAGTGCATAATGTCAATAAAAAAAAATATGAAAGAGGAGCTGGTGACCAATCAACTAAGTGCTTTTGCGTTTGGTGTGCGAAAATTGAGCTTGCGAGATCTTTTAAAAAGGATGGCAACAAGCTGGGTTTAATACACTCTAAGATTGAATATAAAAAAAGTATTGGATATGCTGGCCTTTCACATAACTTAATTGGATAGAGTAAAATTTTCACTTTATCATGAATTTACATTGTAAACCTCTACATGTTTATCTTTATATAGTGATGTAATTATTTTATAATGCTCATATATGTAATGATGTAAGAATGAATTATATAGATTGTACGAGTAGAAAAAAATACTTTAGGAGAGGTAATATAGTGGGTATTAGAAGATAGGAAGTATTTCGTAGTTAACGCACATTTTAAAGAAAATTTAGGTAGGAAAAAATTTGACACTTCATTAGTATTTGGACCATAAATTTTTACCTTGATGTCTGTTTGATCTGAAATTTCCCCAGTAGACACTAGACTTCCAGGGTTAAAGTGTATTTCACAAAAAGTTTTCAAATCGACCTCCAAACAGGTCAAAACTTTATTGTAATTTCAGCTAAAAATTGGAGTGAGTTCGAATGACAGTTAGTCCCAGTACTTTTATGTCTAACAGAAACTCTAATAGAAAAGCAAAAGTACTGGGAGAAAGCAACGTTCGAAAGCCAAAATGACGTTCGAACGTGAGGTAGATAGTTCGAATGTCAAGCCCTTATTTCGAACGTGAGGTAGCGATTCTGAATATCATATTTGAGTCGATTGGACAATTTTCTCATACTATAAATACCAAGGACGTCTTCCCTAGTCATATTTCATCAGTTCTAACCCTAGGGAGCTTTAGAGAGAAAGAGATAAGCGGAGAAACACAAGCTTAAGGAGGATTTTACGTTGGAATAGATCAAACACACTAGGTTTTCACACAAAACTATGGAATCAAGGTAGGGGATTCTTTTTGAGTTCTTTCATTAAGACTTAGGGTACAATTATATGTGTTTTCAATCTTCATGATAATTATATGATAAATATGTATGAGTTATTATTTTTTTATCATTGGAACATAATTTTGAACAAAATACATGTTTGGGGTTCAATGAATACTTGTTCTTGAATTTCCAAAATACTAGTTATATTGTTAAATTCATATTGATTTTTGATTTCTAAATACCTATTCTTGATTAGATTATGTTTTCATCGATTGTTCAAAAAAATTATGATTTTTGACTAATCCCTTGAATTTTGATATTGAAATTGTGAGTGCTTTCTTAAGATGA